CTACTGCCTGGGAGTGTGTGTGTATACGCATGCATGTTAACCAAGGTAAGAGGTTGGGATCACTGGCTAGTTATTGACATGAGATTGGGAATAGGAAACATGAAAGCACATTCACTATTTCAGTATATTTCTAGTTGTTTTTATCCAATCTGTATTTTTATATTGTTAAATATTGTATTTGTAATTCTTACATTCTTTATACCACCATTTAGCATTGTATTAGGTCAAATATGTTGCTAAAATACTAACATTTTAATGGCTATTTTAAAGTGCTTGCACATCATTTCCTTGATAACCATTTCCCATATTGACCAACTCCTAGCTTATGTTGTATTTTTGCTCTTATAAATAATACAACCATTTTGTAATATAGATTAGTCCATATCTTTGATTTCCCCCCCTCGGGATAAATGTGTACTCTAGACTTTCACCCTTTTTTTATCTTTAGTTATCTTTAGGTGATTTAAATATAGCCATTATTTTAAAAAGAACCTGCCCCTTACTATATTGTTAACTACTCCCTACATGATTAAAAATATTCTTGTTATACAAACTGAATAAAATATTCTGCTTGCAGTAGGGAAATTTCCAAAAGTATACTAACTTTCATAAGCTCTGTTTCCCTTTATGTACCCTGTTGTTGCTGATATTATGTGTTTTCTATGATTGGCTGCATATAAAAACTTGGATTAACTCAACATTCTTTGGGCTTTTTATTGTCATGTTGTGTTTGTGCAGGGAATAAGCTTTTAATTCTTTTGTGTAGGATAGGCCTGATATGCCAAAGACACTAAGTAGAACATATTTGACGTTTAAAGGTTTTATAGTTTATGCATTTAAGTAATATGTAAGATTTATGCATTTTTATATGGCAAACCAAAATCACATGTGTTTATATAAATGCTTTGTTAATTACTGATAATTTATGTAATAAAATTTTCTTGGAGTCTTAAGTCTCACAAAACATTTTATTTTTGTGCATCCACACATGCCAATAAGTGAATCATGGTGCCTTTCCCAAGCCTTGTATGAACAGGACTGGGGTAAGGGCTGATTTTTTTTTTTTTCTTATCATAGGTACTTAGAATAAGCTTTAAAAAGAAAATTCTATGTTTCTCAGGCAAAGGAAAATATGAATTAAAGTAGATTTTTATGTAAGCCAGTTAGGTAAGTAATATCAGGTAGAAAATTCATTGTTTTAATTACATGAATTTTTTTTCATTAAATGGATTTTTTTTTTATACTGGGGTTGAACTGGGGCCTCACACTTGCAAGGCAGGTCTCTTAACACTTGAGCTACTCCTCCAGCCCTAAATGGATTTTTTAAGTGCACTTATTTATGTACTTGGCAATATCATTGCTACTGAAAAGAATTAGTCACTGTAAGATCACAGTTAAATTTGCTTAGTTTTACTTTAATCCAACATTTTTAAAGATTAACTTGCTTAAGTTTTTTAATATGTAAAGGGTGTATGAAAATTTGAACATGTTTGCAAAAATTTTGAAGGTCAAAGCAGTTTAATTAATAGAAGGAACTTTGTTACATATATTTTGATAAGTGGTTTTAAAAGTAGATTTCCATTTCAAAGTGGTATTTATAAAACTTCTGAAGGCCCCAACTTATATGTAAGCATTGTCCTATTGGGCTTATACCACTGGGTGGCAGTACTTTCTTTTCATTTATGTAAGTTGTAGACCAGTAGTTTTCAAACTTTTTAATCTCAGTGAGGGACCACTTTACACTCTTAAAACTTACTGGTGATTCCAAAGAGCTACATCTATTTTGGTTCTCTGTATTGCTATTTGTTGTATTAGTAATTAAAATCAAAATATCTTTTTTAAAAAGCTTAATTCATTTTTAAAAATAAAGATATAAACCTACTACATGTTAGCATAAATATTCTTATGAAATACACCTATATTTTCTACAAGAAATTTTTGTGTAAAGAATGACCTGTTTTACCTTTTTGTTTGTTGCATTGACTTAATAGAATGCAGCTGCATTTTCTTGCCTATTTTAATCTGCATTCAATCTATGGTGACATCAGTTTGGTTGACAATGTGAAGAAAATCAGCACTCTATAATAACACTTAGAAAAGGGAGAACCTGGCAGATTATCTGGAAGGATCCTAAGATCCCAGGATCTTTGGAGCACACATTGGAAACTTGCTTTAGATTTTTATTTTACTCACAAAACAGGCTTGATAATTAGGTGGGAATGCTAATAAAATTCCTTTTTTTTTTCATTTCTATTAATTTGCCTTTTATTCATTTCGTGGTTTTTTTGCCAAATGCCACTTGAATTTTAGCAACTTTTTTACTGCGATAAAAACATAGACACTGGTTTACTTACTGATGCTTGAATGTCATTAGCCAGCTTCTTAGGACCTGCAGTTAAAATAGAGGTTTGCAGCCTTTCCACACTTCTGCGTCTTTATTTCTTGCAGTGGAAGTAGATGTGGGTCCTTTTAGTCTTATTGTAGAGTGTTCTTTTAGACAGAGCAACAAAACAGTAGTGATACTCAGAACCTCATAGTTCTGTTTTTTTTGCTATTTTGAATGATTAGGATACTTAGGATAGAGAAAGGAAAAGTGGTGGAGTGGCAAAAACAATGCCACATTCTTCCTAACTTTAGCTTAGAATTTGTTTCCCTTTCATTCTTGTCTTTTTGTGAAATATGTTCCATATATCACCCAATACCTGGCATATGCTTGGCAAATGGAAACATCCAATAAATATTTAATAAATGATAATTGATTGGATCATTAAGCTGTAGCTTGCCAGCCTTTCTTACTTAACTCCTAAGGGGAGCATTTTTCAATTTTTATAATTGCCTTGGATGTGAGTGAACCTCACCTCAAGTGGAGAGTGAGCATCTAACAATAAAAATCCTGTCCTGCATTTTACATAACTGACAGAGGACCATACTTATTTTATAAGTTCTTGCCTAAAAGTGTTTTTATTTTTAAATAAAAAATTGCCTGAGATACATTGAATTTTGCTTTGGAAGAACGTAGTGTGTTCTTGCAAAATTCTGAGGCAGTTTGTGTTTAACCTTCCTGCTCATTGTGTGCCTTGAATGTAGTTTTTCCTGCACGTTCTTGCATGTTGACAGGCTTGTAAGCTGTGGTTGATGCACACTTTCATTCTCCCCACTTACCCTTTGTTTGTAACCGGACAATAAATTGCATAGTCATTCAGAACACACTTCTTTAGTATTTACATTACAATCCTAGTATACTTTCACTTTGAAAAGAGTAGGGAATTCATGGTTACAGTAGTATAGGCTATGAATACCACTTGATTGTGTTTAGCTGTTGCAGGGTAGAAGGGTGAGATGCTTCTGGTTTGTAAGCAAACTCTCAGTATATCCTCCAAAAACAATGAAATGTGACTCCCTGTGGGAGACAGACTTCCTATGAGGAAATGGCTTCACTTGTAATACAACGTAAAATCCATAATGAATTTGAAAAGTGTTTCATATAGGTTTATTATATATATATGTGTGTAATGTGCTGAAATACTTTTGGAGATGTATTTAACATTTCTTTAAAACAGGGTAGCAGTAGAAAGCAGTGAGGTTTGTCTATCAGAAGTTACGTGTTGCATTTTGTGAAGAGTAAGAAACCATTAGTAACTCACCAGTTCAGAAATTCTGGTTTAATAAGAAATAATTACTCAGCTGAGTTTAATATCTGAATTTTTAGAGTTTTAAGATCTAAAGTTAAGGGTTTTTTTCTTAAATCCAGTTTTAAAGGTCTACCATCAAGCCTATATATTCAAGTTGGTTTATCATCTGTTGAAAAATTTTATGCCCCATTTACTGCATTTGAATGGGAATATTGGGTTAGAAAATTTCAAAGATTTCTTTCTAGGTGTGAAATTAATTGGTCCTTTGACATGATAGAAAGAAGATAAATTTAAATGAAAAGAACTATGGAATCAACTCTATCCTTTAATCATTATAAGGTGGGCAATCAGATAACTTACAGAAAGCAGTTTAGTGGATTAAACACTAGTTATGCCAGAGGTCTTCTAAGATTTACTGAGTGTGTTTACAAATTAAAGTAGAAAATTGTATCTAAATAGGAACTTGTGACATGGATTTGTTTTGTTGTCTAAATGCTTGGATTCTGGAATTTAAAAAGTAACAAAATTTACTTGGTATTCAGTACATAAAGTTTTATTTTGTTTAATTAATCTAAACTATGGAAGAATATCATAACTATCCCCAGGCTCTATAGAGCCTGATTTAAGATGTCTATGTGACATACCTGGAAGGCTAAGATAAGTTTTACTTGCTGAATAATAATAATAATAATGAAAAGGTACTGACAGCATCTAAGCGTTAAAAACTGTTGGCATTCCTTTTCCATTTTATCCTTACTCATTTTTAAGTCCTTAGCACAAACTTCACAATGAGTGTTCTTAATGGTATCTCTTTCTCACAGTAACTTTACTTTGAGATTTTTTTGTTGATTTTTGTGGTGCTGGGGGGTAGAATTTAGGGCCTTGGGCTTGCTATGCAGGTGGCTCTACCATTTGCGCCTTTTTTGCTTTAGTTTTTTGTTTTTGTTGTTATTGTTTTTTGTTTGTTTTGTTTTGTTTTAGGTGGGGTTTAGGTTTTTTGCTGTGGCTGTCCTGACCTACAATCCTTCTACTTAAGCTTTTCATGCACTGAAATGATAGGCATGAGCCACTACACTCAGACAAGCATAGGGAATCTTTAATAATTTAATATATTTTCAGACCTCTGAATTTTGGCTCATAGAAGAAGCTCTAATATCCTAACCCAAAACTCAACAAAAAGTTTGGTGTCAGTGACAATTCTTATGGCTTTGTCGAACAGTTCAGAAGTAGCTCCTGGATTAGAATGAGGATGTGTTTTTTAACTTGTCCTGCTACAGTTGCTATTAGTTCTCATAAATTGAATGTAAAACATTTTAGCTCAATGATAATATTTCCTGAGATACTTGTTTTGTGCTGTTTTCACTACAGCTTTTGAGGAACTTGAAAAAGCATTGAGTACAGCCCAAAAAACAGAAGAGGCACGGAGAAAGATGAAGGCAGAAATGGATGAGCAGATAAAAGCTATTGAAAAAACAAGTGAGGAGGAACGCATCAATCTTCAACATGAATTAAATCGGGTGAAACAGGAGGTTGTTGACATAATGAAAGTAAGAATAATTCTGGATTGAAATGAGCTACAAAAATTGTAAAAGTCTGATTTTTTTTTTCCCCTGTGTTGTTTGACTGTAAAGGAGAGTTAATTTGTATTTTATACCTTGGCCATTTCATGTTGTACAGGACGCAGTAAAAACACGCTTTGATGAAGAAATTAATTTAATTCTGAGGTAATTCTCTGGATCATTTTAATCTATGCCTTTTCTCCAGTGTGTGCCTTACCTGCTTCCTTGACTTTAGGCTCTTCGAAGGGAGGCTGCCTAGCTGCTTCAGTAGAATATCCTCCATAGAGCTTAGTTAAGAAGGCACTTGCCTAAAGTGTGTGTGTGTGTGTGTGTGTGTGTGTGTGCGTGTGCGTGTGTGTGTGTGTGTGTGTGTTTAAGGTGATGAAGCAGTTAAGTCACTGAGGATAGGTTGCTTAAATGTTTTAAAGGATAAGTACTGGTTTATTTTTTATGAGGTCCTGAGGATCAAGCAGAGGGTCTTATACATGATAAGCATATGCTTTACCACTGAGATACCTCTTCAGCCCTTTAAAAAGATAATTATCTTTTCAATAAGATTCTAAAAGCATGTGGAAAAGGCAAACTAAAAAGCATCTACACAGCAAAGGAAACAATAAACAGACAGCCTACAGAATAAAAGAAAATATTTGCAAACTATACTTCTGACAAGGGATTGAAATTGAGAATATATAAGGCTCTCCAAAAACTTAATAGCAAAAAGCAAAAACTAACAAATAAAATGATTTTTAAAAAATGAGCCGTATCTGGGCACTGGTAATTACATAGCTCACGCCTGTAATCCTAGCTACTCAGGAGGCAGAGATCATGAGGATCGTGGTTCAAAGCCAGCCCAGGCAAATAGTTCATGAGACTTTATCTCAAACCCTTCACAAAAAAGGAGTGGTTGAGTGGCTTAAGGTATAGGCCCTGAGTTCAAACCCCAGTACCCGGGGGGAAAAAAAAAAAGACATAGATCTAAATAGACAGTTGTCAAGCGAAACATACAATTTCACAGGTGTATGAAAAAATGTTCAACATCACTAATCATGAAGGAACTGTAAATCCATACCACAATGAAACATCACATCATTCCAATAAGAATGTGTATTGTTAAAAAGACAAAAAGTAAGAAGAACTGGTAAGAACATGAAGAAACAGAAAGCTTTGCAAACGTTTCCACTATTTAAAACAGTTTTAAATGAAGGTTTCTCAAAAAATTAAAAGCAGCCATATAATCCTGAAATTTTATGCAACATGGATAGGATTGGAAATCTTCGTGTTAAGTATAATAAACCAGGAATAGAATCATCTCACACATATCTGGAATCTAATAAAGTTGATCTTGTGAAAGTTGAGAGTAGGATGTGCTGGGAGAGGCTGGGAGAGTGAGGCTGGTGAACATGGATGGGCAAAGGTTGATGAATGGGTACTAAACTACAGCTAAATAGGAGCAAGAAGTTCTGGTATGTCATCACACAATATGGTAATTATACATACATACTTTAAATGTATATAGAAAGGATTTTGAAAGTTTTCACCATAAACAAGTGGTAAATGTTTGAGGATACTCATGCTTAACTGGATTTAAACTTTAGACATTGGATACATGTATTGAACATTACATGGTACCCCATTGATATATACAGTTTTATGCTTAAGTTAAATAAAAATAATTTAAAACATAATAAAATTATCAATGTTCTGATTACTCTTAAAAATATAGATAGATCTGAATTTTAAAATTAGTTAGCTTGATAAAAAGTACCCTGATAGAAGTAATGTATTTCTGAAATGCCATAGACTTCTGGCTTTTCAGAAATGTAAATATGTTAATATTGTAACCATTCCTAGTTCCCCACTCCCATCTTCACTATTTTTCCTCCTGTCATGTCTACTGTTGTTCAGTCTTTGTCCATTTTATTCTATTCCTTTATTGACTCTTAACATTTGATTATGACCACTAAAGTGGTTTAAGATGAGTTGCAAATCTAAATACATGAGGCTTGGACTTCACAATTGAAGTATTTTACAACTCCTGAGAAAGGTGTTACACTAATAAGAAGGTTTGCTTGTTAGTCTATATCGGATATCACATAAATAACTACATTGTGCACACATTGTGACAAATTAGTTTTCACACATTTTTTCCATCTACTGAACTACAGACAATTTGCAAAGTAGAATAATTTTATATATAAGCATTTAGCTATAACTCTTACTATATTTTAATATTTTAAATAGTCATGATGTAATAAGTAATGTTACAATGAAATCTAAGAACTTAGCAATTTTTATAAATAATTTTTGAAAGATCATAATGTGGTCATAGGGTATAAAAATCAAAAGATTAAAAGCTTTTTAATATACTGCACAGATATAGTCTCTGCATATAATTTCTGTTTTGTTTTATAATGTCCTCTTTAACTTTTTAATATAGATGATGATATGTTATATGTACATTTCTGTATTTTTGCTCTTTTACCTAATAATCTGTGCTGGAGGTTATTTCTTATCCATTGATAGCCAATAATGCCCCATTATTTTTAAGGCTGCTTAGGGTTTCATTATATGAATTTCCTATTATTTAATGAGTCTCCTGATTACAGATGATTATAGATGTTTAGATTTTCAGCTATTCAGATTTTGACTATCCTTAATAAATATTTGCTCACATGTACATTTCTTTAGGATAGTGTCTTAGAAGTAGAATATTACTCAGGTAAACATTATACATTTTTAATTATTGCCTGCTTGCTACACGTTCTGTGGAGTACAATTTATACTCTCAAGCTATGTGTTAGAAATGTTTGCTCTCCTTCACAAAGATGTGTTTATCTTTCTTTCATATCCTTCTTCTTTGAGTTGCCTGTAAAATCCTTGACTCATGCATATTTGATTGGTCTCTTAGTCTTTATAGAAGATTTACAGAAGCTCTTTACTGATAGTGAGAATTAGCCCTTTGGATATACAGAACTTTTATCCAAGTAACCTTAAGTTTATTCTTTGTTGACTTGATTTATGGTTTGTTTTGCTTCTGTTTCTTTTGGTTTTGGGGTTTTTTTTTTATTTTTCCACTATGTAGAAAGTTTCCTTTTTCTGGTAGTTAAAATAACCTTTCCCTTCAATGCTGAATCTGGATTTTTGTTCTGTTCATAAACACATATAGGGCTGGGGATATAGATAGAGCTAGCTCATGCTATGTTCAGTCTCTAGCACTACAAAAACAAAACATATGTGGGAGATCGTTCTATGGGGGTTTTGTTTGTTTTTGTTTTGTTTCTTTGGTTTGTTTAGACAGGATTTTGCAGCATATCCCCTGCTGGCCTCAAACTCACTGTCTTCCTGCCTCAGGCTCCTAAGTGCTAGGATCACAGGTGTGAACCACAACACCTGGCTTTTTGGGTTTTTTTCTTCTAGCACTTTGATGTTTTTGTTTGTTCACGGTTATATCTTTGGTCCAGCTGAAATTTGTTTGATGTGAATATGGATCCAACTTAATTTTTTTCCGGAAGACTACCACATAGTTTCCAAATCATTTATTTAATAACCCACATTTTCCCCTCTGATATGCTATATTATCTTTATTGAAACTAAATTAGTGTACTGTTAAATGTGGGTCTATTTTTTGAATTCTCTATGCTATTCCATTGCTGGTATTGCAAAAATGACCATATGTTTTTATTGCACATCTATATGTTTATATATATATCTGTCTGGTTTTATAGTTGCCTCTGCCAACTACTGTTATTTTTTTGTAAGAGTAATGGTTACTCTTACATATGCTATATTATCTTTATTGCAACTAAATTAGTATAGTGTTAAAAGGGGGTCTATTTTTTTGAATTCTCTATGCTATTCCATTGCTGGTATTGCAAAAATGACCATATTTTTTTATTGCACATCTATATGTTTATATGTATCTGTCTGATTTTATAGCTGCCTCTGCCAACTACTGTTATTTTTTTGTAAGAGTATTGGTTATTCTTGCATGTTTATTTTGTCTATTGAGCCTTTCCTCCATTAGGTTGGTATTTTAGATTGATATAGGGAAACTTGACATTAAGACTTAATTTTTCTAATTAGGCAAAAACAAGGCCAGTAACTCTTTAACAGTGTGTATCTAGAAAGCTAGGAATAATTAGATTAGTGCAGCCAGGGTAGATTGACTGCAGTGAAGACCACATTTTTTGGCCCTTATTCCCCACTCTACTTTCTTGTCCTGACCAGTGGTGAACTTCCCTGCAAGTTGTGGAGCTTTGGTCTGATAGGATCCTATTGCAGCAAAAACATTTCTGGTTTTTCTTTTAACTGTCATGACTTTTGATGACTCTTGAGCCATGTGGGGAATATGTTCTGATTTTTTTTCTCTTAACAATTATTAGAGTAATATAGTATTATCCATATACTTATATTTATTTATATATATATAAATATATATGTTATTTTAGGTGTTTTAACTTTATCTGTTTGGGTCATTTTCAGAAATCCTCAGAAGAACAAATTGCTAAACTACAGAAGTTGCATGAAAAGGAACTGGCCAATAAAGAGCAGGAATTGATCAAGAAGTTTCAGACCCAAGAACGGGAATTGCAGGAACAAATGCAGAAGGCTCTTGTAGGCACCTATTTTTTTTTTTAATTTTATTTTATAGGTTAACTTCATCCAGTTGCCCATCTGCCCTTCTAGCAGCTTTGACCTTTCAGTATGCAGAGAGGATAGGAGGTAGGGAAAAGGACTATTAGCTTAGTGTTGTGTGAAATTTAAATTTGCTTATTCCAAGCTTTCATCAATCAATTTATTTGTCTATCATTTCCACCCTAGTAATAGGCCATAATTAAGAGGATGGAAGGAGAAAGTAGGTTAATTGAAGGAGTGATTACATAATTCAGATAGAATATCTAAAAACTCAACAGACTAAATGTGTTCAGAGCTTAAAGTCCCCAAAGATTAAATTGCATTCTTAAAAGGAAAATACTTTCAATCTATATACCACATTAAAATATAAGATTAAAAATGGTTGAACTGATGAAAATAATCAGAAAAGCAAGGATTTCACATATTTAATGCCAGATATATGAAATAGTATGACTTGAAAATTTAATACAAAAAATATTTTTCTTCAATTGTGAAAGTCTTTTGTATAATTTACCACAAAATGTTAATGCCAAACATGTAGTTTGGTTTTATATTCAGTTATCCCTAAAATATGTGAAATTATATTCTTAAAATAATTATATAATTTTTAAATAGTGCAAAAGGATGAGAAATAGTATTTAAAATTTTAATCTCCTTTCTTTCATGCATCATTTTCTTTACTCTTAGTTGGGTCTGAAATTCTGAGAATTTCCAGCAGCATTGATTCTTGAACTGAGGTAGCAAGTTTTCTAATCTGCTCAGTAAGGCAAATAGGTGCATAGATTTGCGGTATGATGGGTTGAAGGTGAGGCAATTAGTGTGTGGTTGTGAAATTTACACATGTATGGACCCTTGTTTGTATTCTTTGCTGATCTAGAAAGAAATTAAGGCAATTTATGAGAATATTTAAGCTATAACAGAACAGCATAAGGTAAATATAGGATCAGAGAAATTAAAGAACAGGGACATGAATGAAGCTAGGCTTTATGAAGCCTTTCATGAAGACCCAGGATGGATTTTTATGCTTATGGGGGAGCTGGGCATTGAATGCTGGCCTTGTTAATACTGTCTTCCAGGAACTGCTATGTTCAGGTACAGTCCAAGTAGAGGAGCAAGACACATTCACAGGCACACACACCTTGTCACACATACACATGCACGCACACACACGTGAGCTTTCCCCCATCTTAATTTCCTTTTATTTTAATGAGCATATAGAAACAGATTTAGAATATTTACATTAACAAGATAGTATGTTGAAACTATTTAAAATCAATATTATGACAACTTATATTTTCTTTATCAATCTGCTCGTAGTACAAATCATTCCTTAAAGCATTGTGCTTCACCAGAGTGTAGTGATTTGAAAATTCTGCTGTTGGCGGGTTGTACCTAAGCAATAAAGATAAATACACTTATCATAGTTGGAATTCAGTCATAAAATTAGCATTCAGTGTGACAATTTAATGTAACAAGTGCTCTCTATAAGCTTCTTTTTATAAGTATTGGTATGTAATAAAGAAGATTTCAGACTTGACGGCACTGGAAAGCCACATTGTTTTATTTCTGCAAGCAAAAGAGATGATACTATTGCTTGCCTCAGGGCTATGTGAGATCAAATGAAAGGCATGATTCCCACTAAAGAACTTTGGGAACACTGAAGATTTATTTGGATTTAAATTGGTATTAATTGTTTTCGGCACAGGAAAAAAGTCAGTCAGAATATCTGAAGATCACTCAAGAAAAAGAGCAGCAAAATTCTTTGGCCCTGGAAGAGTTAGAGTTGCAGAAAAAAGCAATCCTTATAGAGAATGAAAATAAACTTCAGGACCTTCAGCAAGAAACAGAAATTTATAGAACTGTAAGTTTAAATATTATTCAGGTTCCACAGCTGGTTACTTATTTCCTATCAGTAGAAACTTTCAGAGAAGCTTTTGCTTTGTAGATTATATTTACATTTTTAGATAATGAGAGCTATTCATGGGAATGATTTTGGCTTTGACTCTGTGTTTGATAACTTTGTCTTCTGCTTTTATCTTTATCTGGCTATACTTTTCTCAGCCCTTCAATGTGCTTCTTTACATTCAGCCTCTGCAACATCTCCTCTCCATTGCTTATACACCCTAGATCACTGGGAAGTGGCCTCGCTTTATAGGTTATACTTCTCCTGGTACCTTCCTGCTTGTCCACCTTCATTTCATGTCATGACCTAAATATAATCTGTTCTTGGCTTATATCACAATTTAATTATATCAGTGCCCTTATTTGCATTAAAATTTTTTCCATATTAAATACAGTCTAAGAATGAACATATTTCTATATATGCCTCAGTGTGCATATTTTTCAAGGCCCTCTGATCCTTTCCTTCAGCAGTATTTAAAATATGCTACCTTTTAGTCTCTTTAACCTTTTTGCTCAGATTTAAATAATGAGACAGTCACACATGATACTCCACAGTTCTGCTTCTGCTTTTTTTATATACTACCAACATTTTTAATGTGTAAGGTGGAATAAAATAGGAACTTAAGCAGCCTAGATCTTACACTTGATATGTTTATAAATTAATTGTGCATATCAAGAAAATGAATTTTGCAATTCTTTAGGATTTTTCCAGCTCTGACTTTCTAATGATTCTCTTTTTTTCCTCAGAGTCAAAATTGATTTTTTATTAGATATTAGTAATCTTTCATAAAATGTGTTTAAGAGCCTACTTTTTTTAAAAAATGAAAAACCTAAATAATGATTTGGGGTGTAGAAAGATGGGGGACCATTTTTTCCAAAATTAAGCTATGAAAATGATAAAATACTCTTGTAGGCCTTAAAGTAAAAAATGGGGCAAAAAAAATCTTACTACCAAAAGTTACTATTACCTGTTTTGCAATTTATTTCTTTATTGACAACACAGTTAGTATATTCTTGAAAATAGCGGTTGTTGAAATGGTTGCCCAAATAAGTAGAGAGAACTTAGAATTACAAGTTATGTTAAACTATAATATTTCTTTGTTCTGTGATTCAACTAGCAATTGAGCACCAATATATTGGTCCTTTCTTAAGTTTAGTAGGTTATGTAAAGTTATCTAAATTTTAATCTCAAAGGAGGTTGTAGGACTACTTAACCAGTATATCATTGCTCATAAATTTGTTTTTAATAAAAATACATCCATTTTCATTAACAGAGAATACTTGAATTGGAAAATTCTTTGGAAAAAAGTATACAAGAAAGCAAAAATCAATCAGAATATCTATCTGTTCATTTGGAAGCTGAAAAAAATAAGCACAATAAAGAGATTACAGTCATGGTTGAAAAACACAAGACTGAATTGGAGAGTCTGCAGCATCAGCAGGATAACTTTTGGACAGAAAGACTCCAAGTCTTAAAGCAACAGCATCAGACTGACATGGAAAAACTTAGAGAAAAGTGTGAACAAGAAAAAGAAACATTATTGAAAGACAAAGAGATTCTTTTCCAGGCCCACATAAAAGACATGAATGAAAAGACTTTAGAAAAGCTTGATGTAAAACAAACAGAGTTGGAATCATTATCTTCTGAACTGTCAGAAGTGTTAAAAACCCGTCACAAGCTAGAAGAGGAACTTTCTGATCTAAGGGATCAAGCAGTTAAAATGAAGCAAGATTTAGAGGCCCAGCTGGATGAGCAGAAAAATCATCACCAGCAAGAGGTTGATAATATCATTAAAAAACAAGAAATAACTATCCAGAGAACTGAGAAGGCATTAAAAGATCAAATTAATGAACTGGAGCTTCTTCTGAAGGAAAAGGACAAGCATTTGAAAGAACATCAGGCTCATGTAGAAAATTTAGATGCATGTATTAAAAGATCTGAAGGGGAGCTTCAGCAGGCATCTGCTAAGCTAGATCTTTTTCAGTCACACCAGAGTACCATACATGAACAATCAAAAGCATATGAGAAACAGTTGGTCCAATTGCAGCAACAGTTATTGGATTTGGAAACAGAAAAAAAACTTCTTATCAAACAGGTAGCTGAAGTTGAAAAACAAAAGAAGGATGTTTGTATGGAGTTAGATACTCACAAAATCCAGGTACAGGGCTTAATGCAGCAACTTGAAAAACAGAATAGTGAAACAGAGCAGAAAGTAAAATCTTTAGCTGAACTCTATGAATCTCAACTTAAAGATAGTAACATTAAGCAGGAACAGACAAAGCAAATCTTGATGGAAAAAGAAAATATAATTTTACAAATGAGAGAAGAACAGAACAAAGAAATTGAGATACTCAGACAGAAATTGTCATCCAAGGAGGACAGTGTTAGTACATTGCATAAGGAATATGAAACCAAATTTAAAAATCAAGATGAAAAGATGGAAAAAATTAAGCAAAAAGCAAAAGAGATACAAGAAACATTGAAGAAGAAATTGTTGGATCAGGAAGCTAAACTTAAAAAAGAGCTCGAAAATACTGTTCTAGAGCTTAGTCAGAAAGAAAAACAATTCAATGCCAAAATGTTGGAAATGTCACAGGCTAACTCAGCTGGAATCGATGCAATATCAAGACTGGAAACAAACCAAAAAGAGAAAATAGAAAGTCTTACTGAGGTGCATCAGCAAGAACTCAGAGATGTCATATCAAGCTGGGAAAAGAAACTTAATCAGCAAGCTGAAGAACTTCAGGAAAAACATGAAGTTCAATTACAGGAGAAGGAACAACAGGTAGCAGAACTGGAGCAAAAATTCCTCATATTTGGGTGTGAAAAGGAAGAGATGAAGAAGGAAATGGCATGGCTGAAGGAAGAAGGTGTTAAGCAAAATGCAACATTAAATGAATTACAGGAACAGTTAAAGCAGAAGTCTACTGATCTGTCTTCTCTCTCAGAAAATGAAACTAAATTGAAAGAACAGCTTGAAAAGGTAATGGTTGACTTGAAACACTCTCTGAAGGAAAAGACTTTCCTTCAAGAGCAGCTAGTTGAACTGAAAATGCTGACAGAAAAAGATAAGCTTAAGATTTCTGAGTTGACAAACAAGTTGAAAATCACAGAGGAGGAATTCCAGAATTTAAAATCTTTACATGAGAGATGTAAGAAAAGCGTAGAAGACAAAAGCTTGGAATTAAAAATACTGCCTGAGGAACTAGCCTGTCAGCTAGACAGTTATTGTAAAAATATGGAAGCTTTATTAGAGGCTAAAACAAGTGAGCTAATCAACAGTAGTAGTAGTAAAACTAATGCCATTCTTTCTAGGATTTCCCATTGCCAAGGCCACACAGATAAAGTTAAGGAGGTACTGCTAATGAAAACTCGCAAAATTTCTGAATTAGAAGCACACCTTACACAGCTAACAGAGGAGCAAAATACACTAAATAGTTCTTTTCAACAGATTACCCATCAGTTAGAAGAAAAAGAAAATCAAATTAAAAGCATGAAGGCTGATATTGAAGGACTTGTAACAGAAAAAGAAGCCTTACAGAAAGAAGGAGGAAATCAGCAACAGGCTGCCTCTGAAAAGGAGTCTTGTATCACACAGTTGAAGAAAGAGTTATCTGAAAATATCAATGCTGTCACATTGATGAAAGAAGAGCTTACAGAAAAAAAATCTGAGATTAGCAGTCTTAGTAAACAACTAACTGACTTGAATACTCAACTTCAGAACAGTATCAGCGTAAGTGAAAAAGATGCAGCCATTTTATCACTAAGTAAACATTATGAAGATCAGCAACGTGAATGGCAGGATCAAGTGCAAAATTTATCTTTGGAAGTTGATACTCTGAGTAAAGAGAAAGTTTCTGCTCTTGAGCAGGTTCACCATTGGTCCAACAAATTTGCAGAATGGAAGAAAAAAGCACAGTCAAAATTTACACAGTATCAAAACACTATTAAAGAAATTCAGGTGCAGCTGGAGTTAAAAACAAAAGAAGTTAAAGTAAAGGATGAGCAGATAAATTTATTGAAGGAAGACCATGATCAGCAAAATAAAAGATTTGAATGTTTAAAGGGTGAAATGGAAGATAAGAAAAACAAGATGGAGAAAAGAGGGTATAATTTGGAGACTGAGTTAAAGAGGCAGACAGCAAAGATCATAGAATTAGAGGACCTTATTACTCAAAAAGAAATTGAAATTGAGTCTTTAAATGAAGTACTTAAAAATTACAATCAACAAAAAGATATTGAACAGAAAGAATTGGTTCAAAAACTGCAATACTTTAAAGAGTTAGGGGAAGAAAAGGCCAATAGAGTTAAAGAAGCTGAGGAAAAAGTGTTAAGGCTTGAAAAGCAAGTAGCTTCCTTGGAAGATGAACTTGAAATTTTGAAGAAAGAATTAGAACATGTGTATTCAAGTGTGAAAAGCAAAGAAGAGGAGTTACTTTCATTGGAAGATAGACTTGAGTTAGAAAATGCAGCAAAATTTGCAGAACTGAAAAAAAAAAGCTGAACAAAAAATTGCTGCCATCAAGAAGCAGTTGTTATCCCAAATGGAAGAGAAAGAACAGCAGTATAAAAAAGGTGCAGAAAGCCAGGTGAGTGAGCTAAATACAAAATTGCAAGAAAGAGAAAGAAAAGTTCATATCTTGGAAGAAAAACTTAAATCACTGGAAAGTTTTCCACAATTAGAAACATCAGTTGTATCCAGATTGGTAGAAAATGTGACAGTGTGTATTGAGCAAGAAGCAGGTCCAGAGGGCTGTATGCAGAAGGCATGTGGAGAAAAACTCAGTGCTTTACAGAGAAAGTTAATTGAAAAAGAAAAGCTGTTACAGAGACTAGAGCAAGGAAAAGAAGAAATAATTGCATCTCATTCTGAAACTCAATGCAAGTACCAGGAACTCTTAAAAAAGTTAGAATGTGCTGAAGCAAAGCAACATGAGGATCAAGTTGTTATAGATCATCTTCAAAAAGAACTTGAAGAAATAAAGAAATATTCCTTAATAGTACCCCAGCATATGGAAGAAGTGGAAAGTAAGTCTATCGTTGGGGCAAAGCAAAACTGGGAAAATGTGATTGATGATGTCCAGAAAAACCTCCACAAAAAAGAACTAACCTGTCAGACCCTGGAGCAAAGGATAAAGGAACTGGATTCCTGTTTAGTGAAAGAGAAGGAAGTACATAGAATTGAAATAGAAGAGTTGACCTTAAAATACAAAAAATTGCAGACTTTATATCAACAGATAGATGGAAAAAATAAACCCACAGAAGTTTTGGAAGACAATATTGAAGAAACTTCCAAATCTCATGTGGTCCAACCCAAATTGCTTAGTAACACGGAAGCCCAGAACAATGACCTGGAGTTTAAATTAGCAGGGGCAGAGCAGGAAAAGCAGAAGATGGGCAAAGAGATTATTAGATTGCAGAAAGACCTTCGAATGTTGAGGAAAGAACATCAGCAAGAACTGGCAATATTAAAGAAAGAATGTGAACAAGAACTGGAGGAAAAAATCAAGTAAGTTTTATTTCAGCACTCAAGTGACTTTTTTTGTGCCTAATACAGTTATTTTAAGTTATTTGAGTGTTTCACCTATCCAGATTGTTAAACAAATCTTGTAAGTTAAATACTAAGAAGAAATAATAGTTTGGGTTTAGAAGCTGTGTTATTCCATGTCCGTTTAGGGGAAAACCTTTTTCTTCATGTAAGAACATAGTTGCTAGTTTCATATCCAAGTGTTTTTATTTCTTTTTGGTTTATTACTTTTAGCAGTAGCATTATTATTATATAGCAAAGATATGTTTGGTAGAAATTTAAAGTGGAAAAGGAAAGTTCTCCAGTTCTCAGGACTACCCTCTATAATAATCATAGTTTTATGCATCCTTCTAAAAGTTTTCTATACCAGAACAGACTTTGACACTTACTCCCTCCCTGTCTTTCTCCCTCCCTTCCTCTCCCTCCCTCCCTCCTTCTCCCTCTCTCCCTCTCTCTCTGTCTCTTTCCCTCTGCCTCTCTCTCTCTTCTTTCCTTCCTCTCTCTCCCTACCCCCTCTCACCTTCACAATTGTTTTCATACCAGAGGTCACTGTTTTGAAAATCAAATTACTCTTTGCAAACTTGACCTTTGCATGACAGCAGTTAGCTTTTTATATGGTTTTTTACTCAGACAGGAGCAGGAAGATCTTGAGTTGAAGCACAATTCCACATTGAAACATCTGATGAGGGAATTCAATACCCAGTTTGGCACAAAAGGAACAGGAGCTGGAAATGACCATAAAAGAAACTATCAGTAAGTACAATTGTAAAATTCAATAAGGAAGCAGTCATACTCAGCACATAATTTAAGCTCTTTTGCACTTGTGGGAAGTTACTGAACTGGAGGGATCATTGCCCAGTACAGTTCTCTACAAGGTTCTCTAGAAAGTAAAATTCTCTAACCTACCCTATCAATAATTTGCCTTAAAGTTAAAGAGGAACTGCTAAAAGAACCTGAAGACATTAGCTAACAACTTCCTTGTCAAGAAACTTATGCTTAGTAAACAGGATACTTTTGACACTCTTAGGTTTGATATCTTATGAAGTATCTTGTTATGCTTATGCTGAATTGAATTTTACCAGAATTAGTTTGGAATGAGGAGTCTCACTGCATTGGGATACAGTATTCACTCTTGACTGATGTTTTTCTTGTGTGTATTCTATTATTTAAATTAGACAGGCCCAGGAGGTGGAAGCTGAACTTTTTGGAAAAGCATCAGAAGAGATAACCAAGTTACATAAAAAAATTGCAGAAAAAGATGATGATCTTAAAAGAACAGCCAAAGATATGAAGAAATCTTTGACGTACCTTATTTTTTTTCTCTTTTGAAATGCATGTAATAGATTTCATGATGTGTGAGAAGATTTCCTGTTTTTCTTATGTAAACCGTTTGTTGGTAACTATTACCCAAATAGTACTTCCATATTGTATGCAAATTTATAAAGCATCTAATTGATTTCTCTAGGATTATACTTTCCTGATACAGATTGCTC